AACGTGAATTTCACGTTTCGGGACGTCTGGTGGTTGAGTGCCTTTGTCAACCAACTTGGATTGTTGTTTATAGTAATCATACATTACCCATTTATCGCCACTAGTAATGATTCAACTTCAACATTCCACGACATCGCGTTTGGGAACCTGAAAAACGCGCGCTTCGTCGCACACAAAATTGGCTGCGTGCCAGATTCGAAAATTTTGAAACGTGTTTTGAAAAAAACGTGAAGTTAAGCGTTGTTGAGTCGCTACTCACCGAAAAGCCGCGACGCGACCGCGCTACGCGTCCAAACTTGGCGCGCTTTCCAATTTTTAAATCTAGGTTCCCTTCCGTGAGGCCGTGACATTCATGTGTGCAACTCAGGATGAGAAGATTCAAACAGGTGCCCACACATGAAACAAAGTTGCTTTGAGCGAAAAGGTGTGATCCATATCTTCCCACTTTTTTTACTTTGCCGAGAGTTCCCAATTTATGGCTTTTTGACGAAAGGTTTGCCACTGATGTACTTGATATATCCCGCACAGTTTGAGACGGGTCCCTTTCAATCCCGGTTTTTAATGCGTCCAAATCTGAGCCCGTATGCTTTTTCGGAGGGGGATTTTCGTCCAACGAGAATTTTCATTTTTCAAATTGATGAATCCAGGTTGTGAAGTTTGTTCAAAAGGGTGCATCTTCGTTGTTAACTTCCACAAATTGGTGATTGATTTCAGTTGATCTGAGGTCAGATAGAAATACAAATAAAATGGTAGTCCAAAAATGGAAATTATTAGAGGCGAAAACGGTGGGCATATCTCACTGCACGAAAAGAGGAGAATGGTCTCCGTTGGGGTGTAGACACTATTAGACCTCACCAGCATACTGATAAAACGACAACTTCCTCGCTTTTATCCCTTTTAAGAAAACGAAGTTTGAAAACAACATATCAAAAGTGGAAAGGACTTTCCGAACAACCTAATATATAAGATGGAGGGAAAGTTTCCATGAATTGGAAGAATGAATTCAACTCCTTCCGGTCTAAAAACCATTCGATTTGGCCATGTGCTCAGCCAACACAATAAGTTAAACACCAAATCCATTGTTATGATGCGGTAGAAAGAAAAAATGAAATGCTTGTTTCTCATCAACAAAATTATCAGTATAATCATAAGAATGGCTGTTGAGGTACCATAGACAAGCCATATTTTAGTTAATCATTGAAGCATCGGGTGGAATAAAAATGTAATTCACCTCCTAACAATTTATGTTATAAAAGAAGAACAAGAAAATAAGAAGTCAATAGTCCGTGATACTTTTCCGTTTTCTAGATTATTCAACAGGCGCCGTCTTTTATCACCTGTCACCAAGAAATGATTCCGGAAGTACGGAAAAATATTCATTAAAAAAAAGTTTGGAAGACATTAGAACAATCAAATCCAGAATATTTATTCTCATCTTTGAAAATGACAAAATAGTTTAAAAACTAATCGAACTCTTCTTAAATTCCTTCTTTCTGAAAACAAGTCTTGCACGTCGGGTTCCAGGCGCTCCACGACGGAACTTGGTTGGAACTTTGCCTCCAAATAGCTCAATGGAATACTTTCCACCTGGTGGTTTTTTATTTCCAAACTCGTTCTTCTCATAAAGATAACCCAGAACTTGTCCGATTGTGTGTGGGTCATACATCACTTCTTTACTTTGCCTCTGAACCGGATGGAGAACATAAAGACCTTTATTATTGGCAACAATACGGCTACCATCGGAGGTTCCATTCTGTAAAAAGTTATAATATTTTCTTGGTCTCTTTGAATAAGTAGCTCACATAGATTTCGAATTGGTCAGGCAAATCTCTGATTTTTTGACCAGTTGGAAGTAAGCCGCTGAACTGAAAAAGTCGAATAAGGAAATTGGAAGGTAAATGATAAAAGAGCACTAACATACATGTCGCGGCCCGGCCTGGCCCGGGTTTTCGAGGTAAAAATTTTTAAGTGTCATTTTTTGAGAGAAAAGTGGATTTTTGGGAACATTTTATCAAAATTTATTTGTTTTCAAGTTTAAGAAGGGTCGTGGGATGAATTTCGTGCTTTAAACTGATTATTTTGAAAAAAATGTATCAAAAATTAACAGAAAAATTTTGAGCTTTTTGGAACCCTGGCCGGGATAATTTTTCTCCAGCCCGGCCCAGGGCTGACTTGGGGCGGGCCGAGATTTAGCAAGTATGAGCACTAACATGTGCAAGTCCATTAGCCGATAAAATATTTAAACCGTCATCTGTTGTGGTTTGCGGTGAAGCACTTGTGGCTGGAGTTGGATTGTTCGCTTGTGTTGGGGTTGTTGGTACGATCGTTGAAGACTCAGTTGTTGAAGGTACGGTGGTTGGAGATACTGTGGTAGGGACTGCAGTGGAAGTCACGGTAGTTGGAGCTTCTGTGGTGACGGTAGTTGGAGTCACTGTAGTTGGAGGTTCTGTTTTTGGAGGTTCGGTTGTGGGTACCGCAGTGGAGGTCACAGTAGTTGAAGCTTCAGTATTTACGGTAGTTGCAGTCATGGTAGTTGGAGCCTCTGTGGCTACGCTAGTTGGAGTTGCAGTAGTTGCAGGCTCCGTCGTTGGAAGCATGGTTGTAGATACCGCAATAGAAGCTACTGTAGTAGGTACTTCTGTGGTGGGCACTGTAGTTGGAGTTGTGATTGCCTCTGGAGTGGTTTTTTCCGTAACGGGAATGTGCATGAGTTTTCCTCCGCTATTCTGTGTGATCCATTGCACCTGATCGGGCTTCGGAGCCCCACCAAAAGCGCCACCAAGAACACTTCCAGGTGGTGCAGTAGGTGCGTGAGCTTGTATATATTTCGGATCTACAGAAACGGCTGAAAATTTTATTTTCAGGATTAGTCCGCCTGATTTAGAAACCGCACCTCGATGAGCGAGCAAGAGGCAAAGAACAGGAAAAGTGTGAAGACTGTGCATCGCCTACTTGGTTCGGTCCAGAATAAATCAGCTAATTGAAATTAATGATATGAATTGGATTATCTTAGCATTAATCTTATCGTTTTCAGAAAAATTGTAAAAATATTTCAGATGATCACGTTTTGGTGGAAATGACTACTTTTTAATGTATCCCGGAGCATGTGCCTTCATCCGACCCAGTTTATCTGTTGGAAAAGTGTTAAAAATTCTCCACTCGAAAATGAAACTTGCTGGAAATTCATTATTTTCATACTAATAGATACATGACAAAACTTCTTATTTTCCATTGAGCATAGTTATCGACGGGCCGATTCCGCGCCGATACGGGTCGGCTGATGACTCCTCCAAATTGAAACTGTGGGCAAAATAACATACCACATGATGGAGCTAGGCGAGCTCTACAACCTCCAAAAAGAAATGGGCAGAATTTGAATCAGTAAAAATAAGAAACCGGGTGCAGACCGACATTTAATAGCCGGGCCGGGAAAATAACGTAGGCCAGGATACGAAATGTCGGCCCGGTCTGTAAAACCAATTTCGAAGCCGGTCGATTCTTTTTAGGGGCTGTAGAGCTCCCGAAGCTCAATCAACTGATATACTGTTCTACTCATGATTTTCATTTTGAAGCGAGTTATCAGAGGGCTCGTGCCAGCCCGGAAATGGCCCGTCGACAAGTATGCCATTGAGCAGCTATCGTTTCGTCCGGTCTACCTCGTCAAGGGTGGTTTATTGCCCTGTATTGTTGTGGATTTGGTATGATTTAAACGCCAGACTTTCCTTCAAGATTTTTTTTTCATAAACCCTGTTATCCGCTCATCTGATCCTTTCCATCCCCTCTTTATTTTTTCCTTCAAAGTCCATTAAAGCAATTAGAAAATGTAACCTATAATCTTTTGCCCGTCTTATCTAATCTGTCTTTTTTCGATTTTAGAGAATGTGTACATTCAATTTATTTGAAAGCTTTCTGCCCCTATTTTTGATCGACATCAAAACCAACCGATTCTTCATCAAATACAACCGATTCAACACCGAGTGACTCATTGAAAAATCAATCAAAAACTCTTGATCGAGACCCCATTCCATTTCCCCCTAACTGCTTTTATTCCAATCATAAAAACCTATTCAATACCAAAAAAAATAGAATGTCTATTCGGAATAATATTATGTGGTTTTCAAATACAGATTTCTGGTTTTTTTGCATGTATATTTCCCATTATTATTGTTATCATCTCTTTATTGTTTTCCCAATTTCCCTTCATACAAATCTCGATATTTTCATGTTTTTCGCTTTCTATTTTATATTCTAACCACATTTTTATCAGACATCTCTCTTTTTATCTTGTTAGCTTTGATTCAGACTCCGCCTATTCTACAGTACCCTTTCCACTTTTTTATTCCTCCTTTTTCTTATTCCTTCTTTTTTTTTCAACAAACGCCAAGAAACGGACGTTTATAATGAGGGGTGGACCCCAGGAAAAAAACGCAAATGCAAAGCGACGAAAAATTGGTGTCAAATTTCAGTTTTTCCCGAGGATATCGTCTGGTTCCAGTTGCATTGGTGATGAAAAAAAAGAAGAAAGAAGATCGTCATTTTGTGTTTTCATACTCTGCTCTTTTTGATTTTCAGGGGTTTGAAAATAAGTGGAGAATGTAGGAATTTTTCGCCCGAAAAAATTAATTTTAACGGATTCCTGAAATTCTGATTTTGAAGAGTACAAAGGTAGAGGGAGACTGCGGGATGGTCCGTCGACAGTCCGTCAACGGCCCGTCGGTTCTCCGTGGGCTGCCAACGAGCCGTCATTTGCTGCCATTGAGCAATTTTTCAGCAGTACTTTTTCATTTCTGATCTCTAAATTCATAAAAGTCCATAAAATCCATAAAGCATCCGTAGATTACGGTAGCGCCATTGTTTCTCGCCAATATTTTTTTCCAGGTCAATGAAGAATTTCAGACTTCTTAACTGTTTACAAAAGAAAAGAAAGTACAGATACCAGGTTATTGTTTTTAAATTCTTGAATACGAATCTTGCCATGAACAATCTCCGCCCATTTTTCTCAATTGTATTGTTTCACTAATTCGAAGATTGTCTGCTTTTTTTCTCAAAAAATGTTCTCTTCTTATTTTTTTTCTTTTCCTGAAAAAAAATGTATTCACTTATCGTATTCATCTTTTTTCACTCTTTTTTTTTCGTTCTCCTCTTATTCACACATCTCAAAAATAAGAGGAATGTATTTTGAAAAAGAAAAAGAAAACTAGTGAAAAATAAAATTTGTTGTCAGATCCTTCTCCCCATCACAAATCGCCTTGGCGGGTATTAGACATCGCGCTAAAAAAATAAGATGGGAAATTAGGAATGAATCAGATGCGGATGGTCTCAAACATCTTGATTTCATCAGTTTTCCAAAAATCTGGAGTCCTTGTTTTTCGAAAATACGATCAACAGAATCATGGTAGTTATCAATTTTTGAGTGTTTATTGGTCAGTTGATATCATCGGTTATACTAAAAGAAGATCCTAACTGCCCTATTTACTCTAATAGAAGTCCATCCGATTTGTTGAGACTAATTATCTCGGTTCCTATGCGAGATATTGAAAACCTGTCAATTTATAAAGTATTGCAGATGTTGTGATAAATAACTTATCAGTTGAACTTTTAATATTTTTGGAGAAACCGAGAAAACTGAGCCCAAAGTACATGTAAAGGGTGGGCTTCTATTGTAGCAGATGCGGTAAGGTAAATAGATTTTCAGTGTCCAAAATTTAGGATCCATTTCGATTTTTAGATCACGGACCTATTATACTGTATATTTTGCTGCCTATTCCGGTTTTCTCGAAGAACGGTAAAACCGTGATCATTTTGAAAAACATCATATTTTATCACCCTTTCTCTCTACCCCTTTCTCTTTTCTTCTCGAATATATAAATTCGTATGTCACCAGATGTTCCCCTTTCTCTCTCTCTCTCTCTTCTAATCACTTTACCATTCATAAAATTGTGCAACAATTCTGATGAATATCTAATGTACATATAGCCATCCCCTTCTTCAGAATTCACTGTAAGAAAGAAAGCATAAAAATGGGGCGGGGCGTTGGTTTATTTTGAACGAGTAGGAGGGGCGAAAAAGAAGGGAGGTGGAGAATGAGGAATATGGAATTAAGAAGGAAAGATGGGTTATGACAGAGAATGAGACGAAAGCCATTCCTTCTTTCCATATCCCTATAATTTTCTGGTTTTTCATTTCCTATGTTCACCCAGGAATTGAGCACACATTCTTTATCGAGCTCTGTGGTAGCCACTTCAATAGGTACAGTACCCTGAGAACCTCTCCAAAATACCTGTCCGTACTCTGCTCCTTCAATGTTACTCCTTTTTTTCTCCTTCTTGTGTTCCTATTTTGGGTCGCGGATCTTCTTCAGAATTCTCAATTAGATTTCTCTCCTCCTTCTTTTGCTTTCGTATTTTTTCTTTCTGCGCAAAAAGAGAGCAGCACAAAAAATATACAGAAGATGTGGGAGGTGTTTACACATTCATGTGTTCAGTTGGGAGCAAAAAGGGGAGGAGCATGGGAATACTGGATTTTTAGTTTTCTTTGTGTCTCTCTCATTTTTATTTATGAGGAGGAGTAGGAGCATCCGGCTGGTAGGTAACATCACCATAATAATAATACTACTAGTCGCTGGATAATTCTTTTTGGGGGAAATGGATTTCTAGGAACCTAAACCCTGAGAGACCTAGGATGATATTGACTGCTTCCACTTCACTGCTTGGTTACTTTCAAATATGGCCCTTTCAGTACTGTATACACCAGTCGGTTTACACTCCTCCGGGGCTGAACCTCATGGCTTCTACTTACAGTACTCATAACCTTATGAAGAAGTTTCGTTACTTTTTAGGGACATTTTTCAAGGTTTTGGACGTTTGGAAATTTAGAAACTCGAAGTTTCAAATCTTTCACTTCAGAAGTTCAGAATTTCCATAACTTGGAATTTAACAATTGGTAAATTAAGGTATTTACAGTTTTGAAAATTTAAAAAAAATCAGAAATATGGAAGTCCTGAAATTCGAACAGTATAAGTTAATACTGTATAACATTCGAACAGGTAGTTCGCAAACAATCCGATAGGGATGCTCCGCCGTTTTCGCGCGGTTCAAATAGGAACCGTATTTCGTACTGTATATATCCAAGACAAAAACATGGGATACTGTAACCTTTCATTATGTAAATACATAAAATATCGTCATGGGAATTTCCATGAGAAGAAGTTTCAAAGTTTATTTGACAAACGAAATGTGTGTTTGTTTTTTCAATCAGTTGACAAGAAAAAATATCTGATTGACCAATAAACAGATAGTACAAAAACAAGTTCCTGCAAGTTTTGGGTGGTCTTGTTGTTTTTTTCCACGAGGTCTCATCCATGTTTCTTTATCAAAATCAGGCATCATTATCAGTTTTCGACGAACTCAAAAATCTCTAAATCGAATGACGAATTTTTTGTATAAAATTCCTTGCCATACCGTATATCTTTATTTTCTCTTTGCATTGAAGACTTTCTTTTTTTTCGTATTGTGTGGTATTCTATAGGTGATTTGAGCCTATTGTGCCAACGACATACGTCACCATTTATGCTTTGAAAGAAATAAATATAGGTGTTAAGGCTCGAGTTTCTCAGGATTCATATTTGTATGATTCATAGATTTTCGATTCCTTTTGTGTGATAAAGTATCTAGACGGAAGTACAAAATACTAATCTGGAAATATAGGAATATCAAAAGAAAATACAAAATCTGTCTGAGATTTTTATATTCCGGGATCATTACTAATAACATTCACCAAATTCTGTATGTGCGTATGTTTGTAGCGTGCCTTTTCCCCCATTCAAAATTAACCAATCGAGCTGAAACCTGGACAGAAAGATTAGAATTGTGTCTTAGTTGATGCCCAAACTTTTGGTTTTTCAAAATTTTGGTTTTGAAGTCTTTTCGAGACGTTTCTTGGTTTCACCACACTAAACGGTGGTGGGCAGAAAGGGCGATGGTGGAGGGCTACCAGAGCCTAGGAGGTTTAGCCCCGAAGGGGCGTATACGCTTACGTAAACCGACTGGTTCTAGATTATTGAATTCAGAATTGTCATTTTCTTCCTTGTTTGATTTGCTATTTCATTTTAGTTACTAATCAAGGTCATTGTTCAAACTCAACAAACAATTTGATGCCATTTGCGGGAGTTTCTCAGAACGAGTTCTCATGAGCTCTTTTTTTTCATGAACCATGAGGTTATTACCATAAACACTCTAATACAGTGTCACCCAAGCTTTTAACTTTGAGAATATCTATCTCATTCCCTGGGAATGACAACAAAAAGTGGGCAATTAACAACATATTTTTGATATGAGCATGTTATCAGTTGACCAATTTCTGATATCATTCACAGAAATCGAGATTATATGGGCTCAAAGTTGACGGTTTGGGCGGCACTCTATTCGATTGTTTACGGTCTATCGACATTTCTTTTGGGACAGTCGAGACAATCACAAGACCCCATAGCTGAACATTCTAGAAAATGATCCGCGTGAGATTGTTCAGAATTTGATCTGGGTGACAGTTTTCAGCTGGAAATGGGAAAACATTATCATTTTCATAACTACCCAACCCCCCCCCCTGAATTCTTTGAGTCTACTTCCTTTCAAGTTCCTCGGGATAGCCTAGGAACTTCTTCATATCTCTGTGATAGCCTAGGAACTTCTTCAAAACTCTGTGCTGGATCTAACGATCGCACTCTTGGTCCAATACAAATAATCTCTCGAATGTTCGAATTCACGTCATACTCATCAGTAATCCGTGTAACTTCTCTCACCTCTTCAATCTCTCCCGTTTTTTTAAATATGAGGTGTTCCTGCGGCGGAGGTAGAGAGAGGGAAAGAATCAGCGATAAAACCGTACAATCGGTTTTCAATTCGATATATCTATAAAACTGCGGGTCGGTTGGGGTTTTGCACACCCCTCTCAAAATCATCGTTTTTATATTCTTCTTTTTCTTCAACTTCTCGTTTGCTTCATTTCCTTTTTTGTTGTCAAAAAAGAGGTGGAGAGTGTTGGAAACATTTCCATATTCAGTTCCATACCGTGGGAAAATTTACAGTCTATAAAAGGTGTACATCGATGTCAGTTTTTCGTTTTCCTCACTCTTTAGCTTTTTCTTTTTCTCGAAATTTTAATTTTCTCCATTTTCCAGCCCTCAATAATCTTCTATCACGATGAAGTTCGGCACATCTTTCGTTCTTTTCGCCGCCATCTCAATGATGTTCGCTGTGGCATACGGTAGGCAACTCAAGCCCAGTGTCAAGTCAAATTTTCAAATTTCAGCCGAAGACGAGGCTCCAGAAGTCGTTGCCACGACGGAAGCTGCCCCCGCAGAGGCTCTAGTCACCGGAGCAGCCAGCGGAGGAGCTGATGTAACCAAGGAAGCTGCCACAGGAGGAGATGTTACTGGAAAGGCTGGAGGTGCTGTTGTTGATGTGAGTTTATTACAGTAAACAGGGATTGATCAATTTTTCAGGTTTTCATGAATCCCATAAAAAAGCCGCTTTTCAGGTCTCCGCTTCAACCGTCGTCCCACTAGTCACATCCGAAGTTCCACTCGTCCCATCTGTCGAAACCACCACCAAGGGATCCCAATCTTTCGTATCTCAAATTTTCGCCGTTGGATGCATCGCTCTTGTCGCTCTATTCCAATAATTTCTTTTCGAAACGATAATTCCCACATCCATGAATTTGAATTCAGACATCCTTTCCCCCTATCATAAACGTAATATATTTTCATTTTCTCCACCTCCTTTTGGACTTTTCTCAAAACTCACGAAACAAACAATTTCTTTTCGAACGCACTTTCTGACATAATAATTTCTTTTCGCGATTTTCGATTATCTTTTTAAATTTTGATATATATTTTTTATTCAAAACAATAAAGCTTAGAGAATTAATAATTTCTAGGCCACACCGGTCTCATCGCATCGTAATCATCCAATTTTGTCGACTCCTTCAGCCCGAATCCATCGAAAATTTCACTACTTTTCGAGGAGTGTTCACTTTCAGAACATTCTGTGACCACTTTCTTGTCTATTGACGCGGATGAAGAGAGAATACCGCTGAAGAAAATTGATTGCAGCAACAGAATATTGAATAACTTATTACCGATTCAGCTGGATATTTCTGACGATATTCTGTAGATTTATCTGCTTCTCCAGTAATGCATTTTCACTTCCGAATGGTCCGAAATTTTGCCTTTGTATTCGAATTATGGCCGACTCCATCCCAAGATTCGAACCGATATGCTCAATCAGCCGTCTGGAAACACAACGATTAAAAACCATTCAGAAAAACTCGGTTTTTGTCGCTTCTTACCTCAACATCTCATCATCTTCTCCGGAACATTGCGCTGTCACCGAAAACCTCGGGGACCGAAACCAATTCAAATCTATCGAATAAATTATCTGAGCGCCTGGAAGTTGAGCTCGAGGAGTTCCACGTCGAGCTAATTCGAAGGCTTCGGAGCTCTACAAAAATGATTGATGGATCGAGTTGAACATAGATTCACAAACTTCTAGATCCACATTTGCATGACGAAACGAAGCTCCACGAAACTCTGACTCCATTCGTGATAATACTTTCTCTATTCGATGGCGAGTAACTTTTAAAACTTCAGATTGGTTTTCTACGGGTTTCTTGATGAGTCCATCTAGCCGATAGACATTAGTCCATGATTTCGCCCTGAGCTCGGCAACAAGATCACAACCGTCATTGATTCCAAATACTGAAATTGGAGCAACTCAAAAAGCCCGAACTTCGTAAATTCTTACAGCAAATTCCAGAACTGTTTGTTGCTAGGGGAAGTGCATCTAGCATCTGAACGTCTTCAGGTCTGATTGATCTACCTGACACAAGAGGATGATACCTGGAACGTCACGGCGGAATTTGCTTGTTTGGAAGCCAAACATTCCGTCTTACCTATAATCTGCGAGTTCATTTTTACCAACCACAACAAGAGCTCCAGATTTGGAATGAGGCTCCACGACCGGTAGAGATATCATAGGTAGCCTTACTCGTGAAGTAGACTCGATGTCGACGATAGATTGGCTGATTTGCCTCCTTATGAGCCTAATCAGAGCTGACGACGACATTCCAGAATGCTTGTACACACAAACGACTCCCGACAACGCCTTCCATACATCATTATGACCCATTTTCTAGACCCGAATCAGTTGTTTTTTCCTGTTTCTCAGAAGCGATAGGTTTGTACAAACAAGCTTCAGGAAAATTGTATCAGTTACACAATTTTTAGATTAACAAATTTATTTTTTCAACAAAAAACAACAGTTTAGTGCTTCTGGGCAATGCGCTTGTCACGCTCCTCAGCGATGGAAAGGCGAACTCCGTTTCCAGATGGAAGGGAGACGAGGGCCTTGTTTCCTTTTCCGATGACGAAGACGTTGGAAATGCTGCAAAAGAAATAGCGTATTTTAGCAACCAACCTTAGCCGGACTTTTACGACCCTCGTGGCCCCCGACCCTCATTCTCCTTTAGCCTTTAAGGCAAACCTACCGAGTGGCGAAGGAGTGTCCAGCGGCATCCTTGATGTGGATGATGTCAGAAGCTCCTGGGAGACGCTCACGATGTCCGATGATTCCGATACGTCCAACGTTACGTCCTCCAGTGACGTAGGCCAAGTTTCCTGGCTCGAACTTGACGAAGTCGGTGATCTTTTGTGTGTTGATGTTGAAGACAATGGTGTCGTTGACCTTGACATGTGGGTCTGGGTAGCGGATGGTACGTCCGTCGGTGGTGGTGAGCACTGGGACTCCCTTGATGACGGTGCGGACCGACTTGACCTTGCAGAGCTTGAAGTCAGCCTCAGCAGCTTGGATTCTGTGGACGATGTAACGTCCCTTGGTGTCGTAGAGCATACGGAAGTACTCGTTGGTACGGTCGATGGCAACAACATCTAAACAACAATGATGAAAATTGGAGTATGAAATTTAAAACTAACCCATGAATCCAGTTGGGAACTTGTGGCAGGTTCTGACCTTTCCGTCGACGCGGACGACTCTCTGGGTGAGGATCTTCTTAGCCTCGGTGTAGTTGAGAGCGTACTTCAGACGGTTGCGGAGGAACAAGCTGAGTGGGAGAGACTCGCGAAGCTTGTGTGGTCCTGGGTTTGGACGGACGGCGAAAACTCCTCCGAGTTTGTCAAGCATCCAGTGCTTTGGGGCGGCGAGACGCTTAAGATGCTTCTTTGGTCCTCTCATTTTTAAAGTGTGTACCTCAAGCTGAAAATAGGTTTTGGGTTATCGGAAGTTTCAAATTAAAAAAAAACCAAAATCGAGAATATTTTATGAATGCGACATCCGAAAGATAAAATTTGAGAGTTAGGATCTTACAATCAGATACATAAATTGCCCAATTTTCTAAAAAATTGGATAAATCTCATAAACTACACACGAAACACAGAAAACAGCTAAAATTTCAAGAAAATAGGAAAAACTGATAGAAATCCCGTCATTTCGGCCTAAAATTTGTTCGCTGCGAGAATCTGCGAGGCACAAAATTGCGTGCGCCTTTAAACATTTGCAACCGCGCTCCAGTGCACAGCCCGTGTACTCCTCTCGGACAAAAGCCTTTTTTTTCAGCAAAAAGTTCAATTTTGATAACGCTTTGGGACAAACGCTGAGAATTTTTTAGAAAAATAATTATTTAGAAATCGATTATCAGTAAGAAAATTAAATAAAACGATGATTCTTCTTCCTAATTTTCTCCGTCTAGTCCTGTAATCTTCGTTAGATTTGTGCGCAAGTCCTGAAGATGATAATATTTTTAACGATAATAATAATAGTAATAATATATTTATTTGCAATGCATGGGGGAAATCGATAGATAATTTGGCAAGAAATGGGACCTGTACAAATAAAAAAGTAAAATGACCAGACGGACCGACTAGAGTCCTGTAGGTCAAGTGGGAGGGATCAGAATATCATAAGGAATCGCTCCTACTCGCTTAGCAAACGCCACCGGACTGAGCTTAGAATTTATCACCTTACATACACGGTTCCACATAGACAAGTTTCTGTGAAGGAAGCAGTCAAAGTATTGACCGTTGATTCTGAACAAATACGGCTCTGTTAGAATGGCTGCGAAGAATGTAGGACGACATAGAGAGAAAATGGTATGAGTTTATAACAATTTTGTGATAGGTACGAAGAACTAGAAGGGTGCGACGATGAAGGGTGGTTAGCATAGAGAACTGGGATAGGCGATCGGTGTATGAATTGAAGGGCATATTACTTCTCTGAAAGACTTTTCTGGTGAAAAAACGAAGAGGAGATTCTAGTTTATTGGCAAGTGTGGCATTGGATGGATCGAAAAGTTCACAACCGTATTCGAGGACCGGTCTAATGTAGGTGTCAAAGAGACGGAAAATAAACAAGGGTTTTTCGATTGGAACGTTTTCAGTATTTGGCGGGACTTGAGTTTAGCAGAGTAGGCAATAAGATTGATGTGTTTGTCGAATTGAAGTTGATCATCAACTAGTATACCTAGGTCCTTGAATGAGCGATGCGGAGTAATGGGGGATCCCTTAATAAAGTAAACTGTCTTAGGATTGCGTTTACCATAATGCATAACGGCCGTCTTATTTTCGGCTAGTTTGAGTCTCCAGATGTCACACCAGTGCTCGACGATTTCGATACTTCTTTGCATATCCAATGGGTCGGAACCGGTTATTTTTAGGTCGTCGGCGACCGCCGTGACATGAACATTGGGAGGAAAGAGGCCGAGTAAGTCGTTAATGTAGATCAGAAACAAAAAGGGGCCAGTGACACTTCCTTGGGGGACTCCGGATTTGACAACAATCTCGCTGGTTGACATTAGGCCATTAACCTTGACGTTGGATGAGCGGTTGCTGAGAAAGGACTCGAACCAATCGCAGCATCGTTCATCAATACCTATTCGCCTCATTTTCAGCAGCAAGAGATTGTGTGGGACAGTGTCGAATGCCTTGCGAAAATCAAAGTAAATAACATCTACGAATTGTTGCTTATTTGCTAAGGTTTTCTGTATTCTGGAAGTGGACTCAAGGACGGCTAGAACACAGGATCGCTTACTGACGAATCCGTACTGATTCGGAGAAATACTCGGACCGTTAACACGTTCTACTAATTTTAAAAATGGTTCGAAGCTTTCAGATTAAAGTGACTTATCAAAATAGTATCGTTCAAATTTTGTTTTATTGTCATGGAAACCAGGAGTGTGATTGAACAACTCAACAAAACAACAAAATTCTCAATTTGGATTCATCTAACTAATCTGAACATGTCGATGTAAAACAATTAAATCAAAGGTTATTAAATTTTATTCACAAAAAAATTTGCTCAATATTTCAAGAAGAAATAATGGGAGCTGATACAAAAGAAGTTATTGAGGGGAGATAAAAGAAGGTGTTCTACACAGAATCGATGATTTTTCTGTATTTGAAAAATGAAAACGACAAGTTACTGAATAAAACATAAACTACTGGAAAGAGGAAAATTGGAAACTTGAAGGGATTTTTATTGAAAAATTCCAGGGCAGTTTTAGTGGACAGTAAACGGATCGAAAAGACGTATTTTTTGTTGAAAAGGCACTTTTTGGGAGTGGGGGTTTATAGGAAGCAAATATGAGGGGTGAATGGAAGATTGGAGCAATTTCAAACTGAAAAGAAAGTAGAATTAAAAACTCATTATGCAGGAAAGCCATATGACTAGCAAAACAGGAAAATACATAAAATATGCAAAAATTGATTTTTGAGGGGGACAAGAGAATCAAGTAAAAACAGGGATTTAGAAGTTGGACCACATTGGTTTTCGAAGCCAACGAAGGCGGAGTCCAGAGTTGGTGCGGATCTTGATGGAAGCAGCCTCGGCGGCACGGACGACATCCTTTACAGATTGCATCAAGTTTTGAGCATTATGAACCAACTGTTGCATAGCTTCATCATCTTCTTCGCTACCTGAAAATTAAAGATTTTGGAAAACATCCGAAGCATATAGGAAAGTCAATCAAGGGATTCATGGTTAGATCACACTCTGGTTTTTGTCACACGTTATTTAGGTATTATTTTAGTTGGGGGAATTTCAATCACACAATTAATATTTTCCTCTGCAAATTCAATTATTTACCCTCAACTGGTTGACCGTATGGGCCGATGACATCTGTAATGGTTTCGGTAACATTGGAATACATTTCATGTCATGATAACTCATGATAAAGGGCTTCAAACTCACTTGCTGATCCGAGCATGGTAGCCTTGACTGTGGACAACACCTTCAATTGAGTAGCTATCGTTGGAATTCTTTCAGAAACTTGGAGAAGAGCCTGGAAATTTGAGAATTAGAGAATTTAGAATGTTGTGTTTCTCACCGTTCTCATCTTAATATCAGTACAAAGTCTGGCAAGTTGAACTGCCAATCGGGTGACTTCCTCGGAAGAATCAGCAATAGCCTTTGAGCAGTTGATGAGATCCTTCTTAGTTCCACCTTCTCCTCTGACCAATTGCGATAATCTAGCCATAAGAATAGCCATTCTCTTGGCAGCAGCAACAATATCGTTCTCCTGTGAACTCCATTGTTTCAGCTCATTGTGCAAGTTATGGGCAGCAGCAAGCATTGGTTGATGGGATGCTTGTGGAAGTGGGTATCTCTCCCAGAATGCACGTGTCTCCTCTTCTTCATCATACTCTGGTGGTGGTGGTGGTCGTGGTGGTGGAGAGAGTTCAACTGGTGGTGGTGGACGTGGTGGAGCTGGAATATCCTCTCGGATGATCATTTTGTTGTGGACGATTGGTGCTGATGGTGGAGAAGCGTTGACACTGCGAATCACTTGGGATGATGGTGGTGGCTGAAAATATTGTTTTTCTATTTTCAATTTAGTTTGCTGCTTTTAAGATTACCGTCAACACTAATAGAACGACACCACTAACTTTGAACTTTGAGCCAATTTATTTCGGTTCCTGTAAAAGATATCAAAAAGTAGTCAACTATCAAAATGTTTATCGTAATATCAAAAACGTTTCGTCAGTTGACCACTTTTTGATATCTTTTACAGAAAATGAGATAAATTGTCTCAAAGTTGACGGGTTGGTGGCACTCTACTGGAGTGCTTACGGTATCCCCTAATGAAGTTAATGCAATCGAGATCTCAATGATTTATTAATCGTGATTTCATTTCATTTGCATATCAAAACATCGGAACTTTTCCCCTTGAAATCAGATCCTCATAGTTTCAAGATGCGAACATTCTTGTGCCGACTTGGAAGCGAGCAAACAAAACGAGGAAGAAGAAAAGTTTCTATTTACTAGGCCTAAATTATGAGGTCAAAGATCTGATCTTTGAGCATCTCGAGTTCAAAAAAAAACTCACTGGATTGTATGGAGATGCTCTGGAAATGCTCTCTTGGTAGCTGGAATGTCTTCCGTTGTTTATTGGTAAACCGGTAATAGCATCTCCGACTGCTCTGACACTGTTCAACAAATGATCGTTGGTTCCACGCCAGTTCTGTGCAGCGTATTGGTCATGTGGATTTTGGGCGATCTGCTTGGCGTTGTTCACCATTGGTGGGATGGCTGAAATTTCCGAGTTACGGGTTTGCAGTTTGGAATTCTACCGTGTTCTGTCGCTGTGACACTTACTAATAAGAACCTGCGGATTGAAGGGCACCAGACGAGTTTTGTAGACATATTCATAGTTCTGTTCACTATAATTGTCATACTCGTCTGATGAGTCGTAGTGATCAGAAACTGATGATGAATACCGGTTGATCGGCATCATATCCACCTATGAGATATATTAGAAGTTGAGATTTTTTAGGAAGAGAGAACGATTGAAAAGAAAATTACGGTTCCAGATCAAAAAGTCGGAATTTCAAAAATCAAAAAAAGAAAGGATTTTTGGTTCAACAGGTAACCTTGAAAAAAGAAAAAGAACTGTTGTGTCTCGTGGGGTCGTCTCCCACAAAAGCCGTCTCCCCGTTTGTCCCCCATCGTCAAAATTACAAGGAGCACACAAACAAAAAGCGGGGAGAGCTCAAAAAAAATGGAGAGAATATATATGAAGATGGAAGAGGGAGAGAGCAAGATGAACGTCAAAGTCAACAAATCACCCCTAACCAACCACCCACAAAATTTTCATTTTCTCTCCCTTAGTTCCAATCTTCTATTTAAACTGTTTGATTGTGGTGTTGGTTGGAAAAAGTAAGAAGAAGAAGAAGAAGCCAATTGTGAGGGAGCAATGGATTAACTTGTCATTTTTCTTTTCTAATGACAAGGAACAGCAGGACGGAAAATAATTGGGGTTTAGGAAGGAACAAAAACAAAGATCAAGCAAAGATTTCAGAAATCTTGCTTTCTAAAAAACTAGATCAAGATCTTCACCCTTTCCCTTTGAGCAGTTTACCAACATATAGTTAAAGATGTTATCTACTTTGAATCAAGTTTTCACTCTCGATCCAATTCCCGATCACCGTGTTTCCTCCCTCATGAACCGTCAACTTTGAGCTCTATTATCTTGATTCTTGTGAAAGACATCAAAATTTTGTCAACTGATAAATTATTTATCATTTTATCACCACCATTTCATCAGTTGACAATATTTTGATATCTTCCACAGAAATATGGATAATTGAGCTCAAAGTTGACGGGTTGGGTGAGCTTCTGTTAGATCATTCACGGTAGCAACAGAACACAGTAGTTTGAAATCTCTTTTTTCGAATTTCTTTTTTCGAATCTCTCACCATTATGCAATTGATCGGCAGCATTTCTGACTCTCGACACAAATGATGGTTCTTCTGAATTATCAGCTTCATTCTGAGCAGTCATCAATACACGGTTTCCAAGACGAGCGATCTGTGAGCTGTTATTGACCATTCCGTGGGCATCTCCTCCGTTGATAGCTCCCTCGCAGTTGTTGGTATAACGGCGCATAGCCTGAAATTTGATATTTTCATTGTTTTGAATGATTGGAATGTTTCTTACTGATTCAGAAGCACGGACGAATTCTCCGGTGTCGATGGCGTCGTCAACGTGGGAACGGAGACGGTGAAGAGCGTCGGCGTATTGTCTGAAATATATATTTTTGGTTTTACTATGCCTTAAAGTTTAGAAACAAAAGAAGTATCACTAAAGAAGAAACTGACTCTTCGGACAAGCCAACGCTTTTCAGAGACAATCGAATTTCCTGAACAATGACCCACAGAGCAAAAGAAGATAAACTCACTTGTGAATATTTTCAAAGTGTTGCTCGGATCCTGGATTATGAAGTCTGACACGTCCTGCGTTAACGATTTGTGGTGTCAATTGCTCAACCTTCTCAGCTGTATCCAGAATAGCCTCTACGGTCTTCTTGCTCTTCGATGGTCCACACGAGGCAACGAGACGAGCGGTGGTGGTCATAGATTGAGAGTGATCCGTGAGACGCTGAGACTTATCGACGAAGTTCTGCTCGCGGTTCGGATCGTATGGGTCGGCGTGAACGGCCTCCACGAATTGTTTGAGTGGCGTCGTGATGTCGGCGAAGTCGTCCACCTGAAATCAGAATCCTTGATTTTTGTTATAATTTTCTGATATAATTCTGCACAAAGGAAAACAAAAAATAAAGGAAAAACTGACAACACGATCGGTGAGGACTCTTCTCATGAAGTCTCCCAAATCTCGAAGGGCGTTTCTCAATTGGTTACGGATTTGTTGGGCTTCTGGTGAGTTTCCGAGTCCACGACGTTCAAGATCAGCCAGTTGAGCAGCCAATCGATCAATATCAGAGCAAAGACCAAGAAGACGGTTTCTGAAATAAGGGGTTCGGATGAGGAAGGGGTTCAGAGACATTGGACGTTTTGTGGAAGGAATGGGTGATAAGCGGTTGTTGAGATGGGGACGGTTGGAAAAGGATATGTTACCTGTCTTGTGGGTTCAAACGATCAGCCAACTTGCGAGCATCAGCAGTCAAAAGACGGATGGCCTGGAGACCGAGGCCTCCATCATCAAGTCCTGGGTTGTCGAGCCATCTGAAATTTTGTCAATTAAGCAAATTCTAAAATTGTTTCCACTAACCTCATAGCTTGTTCCAATCTTCCGGCAGCTGTATGAGCTGGATTTGCTCCTCCGTGTCTTTGAGCATTCTGGAGAGCGTCACTCATCAATCCAGAACTGTGTTGTCCTCCAACAAGATCCTTGAGTCTTCTGGCGGTCTGAGCTGCCAAATTCTCACGATCGTGCTGTCCGTTATTTCTCAAATTGCACAATTCATCAGTGAAAGAGGTAATCTCGAAAATGGATCTCTTGATGCTCTGAGCGTCTTCTGGAAGAGCGCGAGCAGCGATTCTCTCGGCGTATTCACAGATGCGACGGATGGCCTTCTCTCCAACAGCTCCTGGTCTTGCTTGTGGATCAGCCAACCAATCAAGAGCAGCGGTGAGAAGAGACTTGGCAGCAGACAACGCCTTTCTCATCACAGTTACATTATCAGCATCCCATTCATCTTCATCATAAGTAGTCAATTGAAGAACGCGAATGATCTCATTCATCTCTTCAGTCATTCGTTGACTCATAAAGTTTCTATTGGCAACGGCTTCAGCATGTCCTTGACGTGGATGGGGGTTTCCGAGTTCAATGGATGTCTTCATAGAGCAAATAAGAACTGGAGCAATAGTCTTGATAGAGTCAAGACAACGGATAAGAATTTCACGATGAACCTGATGAGTCAACTCCTGTTGACGAAGGTTAACATCGTTGGTAACATCATGAAGCACTGGACTGATGTCTTTAACAAACTGCTGAAGATCAGCCATGGATTCGATAACTTCAGAAACAGCAACGTAGTCATTGACCTTTCTGCAGATTCTGATGATTTTTCTGACTTCAGATTCGTCGAAACAGAGAAGAAGGGCCGATGTTCCTTGGAGAATTCCTCTGGCTCCATCAATCAACTTCTTACGAGCTGGCACCGAATATGGGTCGTGCTGGAATGCATTTTTTAATGGATGAAACTAATTTTGGGTTCTTCTCACCTTCAAAGAATAAGAGCTTTCCTCAAGAAGTTTCGACGATCCCTCTACTCTCTGAAGGGCTGGTGGCATGTCTTGTTGGAGAATACGGTCATCAGAATGGTCACATGTGTCGTATCCAACCTAAAAGTATTATACAGTTAGAGAACAAGCAGTTCAAATTTTGGAGAAGCTGTTTTATCTATTTACCCTCTTCTTTCTTCTTTGATCATCTCCCCAAGATGACCTTTTATTAAAGGATCTTCGCATAGAAACCGATCGATACTCTTCACTGGATCTAGTTAGTGAAGTCATCGAACGATGAATATAGCTTCGATCCATTATGAATTTTTAGACCTATTGAATCATTATTGTTTTGCAGGAGAGGTGGAAGAAGAAGAAACAATCAAAATGTTGAAAAGAAGCTCAAGCTCAACAAAATAGTCTTCTTTCTCCGACGGTTTTTTCTTGCCGTCTTGGTCGCCTGCCGAATTATTTGTCGACTTGTTTGTCTATTGTTGTGTGTTGGCTCAGCGAATTAGGAGCCGACACAGAAGAGGAAAAAACTGTGTGGAGCAAGAAGGCGAAGGCGAAATGACAAGAAATTATTGGGGGTAGAAAGACTATGTATGACTACGATTGGTAGGTATTTAGAAGAATTAGTAATGCGTGGGGGAGATGGATATATCGAAATGAGTCATTTATAAACAGTCTGGGAGACTGTTAATGTGTTTCCTTGTTTTCTTTTAGTATCACTTTCTCACCTGAATCAAGTTTCCGACGGCTCTAGAAACCATTCCAACTGGTCCTGTAAGATCAGGCATTGCGTTTCCATCGTTCGCTTCTTCATGCAGAATCACCAGTCGGGAGACCTTTAACATTATATATTAGGGTTGTGATTCTGAGAATTTCTGATCTATGAGCTAGCACACCCATTAAAATAATGTATTCTATGGAATAATGTACTCTGTTCTAGAAACTTCAGCAATTTTAAATACAGGACAACAGATGAAGCTCACCTACACTGAAAGTTCGTCTTAGCTGAAAACAAATTCATAAATAAGATGAATGAACTGGACAAATACAAAAAGACCCAGGACCCTTACGACCCAAGATCATTAACAAATAACACGTACACATCCATCTTTGCCACGTGGCATCATCAACTGACACACTGGACAGTCGTCATCGTTGACGACGTGTCTAACGGTATCAGGAGTGATGTATTCTGGAATCGATCGACGACTGGATGCTCTCGAAAGAGCAAGAGCGGATCGAGATGTGAATCGATCGAGATTCGGCATTGAAGTACCAAGATGACGGACTTCATCCACACTTGTCGCATTCTTTTCGGCCATCGCCAACACATAATGTAACTGGAAACAAGACAAAATGGACATTTTGGTACAGAGATAAGGACAAGGAACGAGGAAATGAGGAGGATCCGATTAGTTGATAGAAGAGGTTCCAGGTGTAGAAATAGCTCCAGACAAGGTTGGGAGGATCAGTACACAGAAACAATAAATAGCATTTGAACTTTTTTCAAAGGTTGAGAATAATTTTTTCATAGGATTTCAAAATTTCAGTTAAAAAATTTTCTTCAGCTTTTCTGCAATTTTTAAAATCAAAAAATCAATTTTAAAAATCTTTTTCTGCAAAAAAAGACACTGTACTTTCTCTAATAAAAGCACTTTCTCTAATAAAGCAAACTACTGTGTTCTGTTGCTACCGTGATCTAACAGAAGCTCACCCAACCCGTCAACTTTGAGCTCAATTATCTCGATTCCTGTGGAAGATACCAAAATTTGGTTAACTGATAAAATATTGGGGATGTTATGATAAGTAATTTATTAGTTGACAAACTTTCCATATCTTTACAGGAATAGAGATAATTGAGCTCAAAGTTTGTTGCTTGGGTGGTTCAAGGAAATACGGCAATCAGTAATTTTCTGGTATTTCGAAGCGTTTTGTTGTCCGGAGACGCAGACCACTCTCTCTCTTCACTAAACACACCGTTTTACTATTATCCAAACAGAAAACGCACTTCATCACTTGAGACTTTTCTCTAGAACTGTTTAGAAGGTTTGTACGATTTCTGTACTGGTTTTTAGAAGATTTTTTAGGAGATCACAACATGCAAACATTCGGTTGAATAATTATTTTTAATTCTAGTATTTTTGACATGTTATCATCATAGTTTCAAATTCTTTTCAGAACTCACCTGTTGTGCGACGGGTTCGAGAATATTCTCGATGGTTTTTGTGTGGAAGACCGGCATCTTCGGTTTCGTCCCTTTTTCAGTTTCAACTTATTGGTTTGTTTTGATGTCTCAACCCACTATTCTTGATGTTGAGCTGATCTATTAGCACATCTGAAAGAATAGAAACGTATACAAACATGGGTAGCAGAAACTGTAAATATCAAAAGGGAGGAGATGCTGAATTTTCAGAATTCGGTTATCAATCGAATTAAACGTGGAAACGACCACAGGAGGCGGACGAATTGGATGAAAAGGTGATAACAGAGAGAGGTACAAAGAGGGAAAAGTGATAAAAAATGGAAAAAAGTGTGTGCCTTTTTATTTGTGTTTATTTTGTTTGCATTTTTTTTCATCGTTTTTGAATTTTTCAGAGTATGTCAATATATGGATCAAAGAGACAAACCATGATATGGGAGGCCTAGAAAAGGGGGTCACTGGTTTACGGTAAAGGGGTCAGATTCGGGATTCAGGAACTATCAAAGATGAAGGAAATAGCAAAAATATAAAAACAGAAATTTTGGGGATATCAGAACTTCTGGAACTACTAAAGTTTCAGCCTATATGCCGTCAAAAAGCTGCCAGCCCGAAAAAAGGGGAGCATGTATAAAAAATAAAGTATGCAAAAAACCGAGTAGACAATAAGGGGTCGGAAGAGAGTAAACAAAACATAGAGAACATAGAGAAAAGAAAACTGAAGAAGGTCCGTCTTCTTCTTCTTCTTTTTCTTCATGCGCCCGCTTCTTCTTTTTTTCCTTCTTTTTTTCTTCAACTCAACACCACCCAACCCACACATATGTTTCAATTCGAATGAAATCAAAATGAAGTACAACGAGAGAGCGTCTGGATCCTAGAAACGCAGATGGACAAACGAAAACCGTTCACTTCCGATTCGCGCCTTTTGTGGTATTGTCGAGGCGGCTTATGCGGTCAGGTTGGGGTTGAGGATTCTCTATTCAAATCAGAGACGAGAGAGTATTCAGAAGCAAGAGGCTAGGCGAGAGAAGCAAAGCAATTTTTGTCGTCTCGGCGATTTCGACGGGATGATGAAGAAATCATCAGCGACACAGAGGGGGAGAGACTACGGATAGGATCGGGCAAAGGTGCGTGGGTTGGATGATGGAAGAAGGGAGAGGATTCAGACGTTGGGAAAAAGGCGATCGGAGATCGGAAGAAGAAGAAGTAGAAGAAGGAGTTGGGTGGGTGGCAGTGTGATTTTGTTGGCAGGGGAGCAACCGAGCATCATCACAAAACAACAACAAAAGATAGCAGAGGATAGGGGTGTCTAGGTGTAGAGGGCGAGGGACTTCACACTTCAAAGGTCAAAAAGATGACATATAAATCAGAATAGAAATTGGAAGGGATTCTTTGAGTTCAAAAGTACATTAGTCTAATATTGAATACCGTATTCCTTCTCGTAGAGCTAATTGAAATTTTCCAATTGAAAAACCTTGCTAATTGAAATTACTAGTAAAAGCTAAGATGGTCTGGGTGAAATTGAGGGTCTGTGGTGCCAATTTTTTAAACGGAGTATGGAAATTGAAATAAGAGTAACAGTATTTATGTGCAAACTCAAATACGGCAGAAGTAACAACTCTCGAAAAGTAATTTTAAATGAAGATTGTTCTTCAACCAGTCGATTTCCGCCGCCTGTCGGCGGCTACAATCTCCTGGCTTCACTAAAAACGTTTGAATCTCCGAATCGGAGAGAATCAGAAGACGAAGTTTCATTTGATTGTGTTGTCAACTTTCATAAACTGGAGTGACAGTCTGCTTATGCGCCTTCGGGGCTAAACCTTCTGGCTTCCGCTTACAACACCCTTAACCGATTGAGTTTGGGCTTGGACAGATAAATCAGAAATGTAGATCAGAAATGTGTCTTACATTAGTTGAAACACGAACTGTTCAAAATTTCCAAATTTTTAGAACTAATAATTTTTCTGAATTCCCGAATATCTTGAAATTTGACAACTTATAATTTTTTCAGAAGTTTCGAAATTCAGGAGTTATGAATTTTCGGAGCTGCGATTCTAGTACTCACAGATTGTTCTATTAAAATACTTCATTTCAGAACTCATAATTTCTGAAATTTTGTATTTTCGAGTTTCCGTATTTCCGACTTTCTGAGATTCTACTTCACAAATTCCCAAAATTTTAACACGAAAAGATTCTCAGAATTTTCTCTAAAACACATTTCTGAGTTTTTGATTCACAAAGTTTATGAATTTCCGAATTTTCTAAATTCCGAACTTGGGTTTTCTGATATTTTGAACTTCAAAGTTTTTGGTTTTTCTGGTTTTTTGCTTTCGAGATTTTGGATTTTCAAAATTTCGAGTGTTCTAACTTTCAAATTTTTTAATTTCGTAATATTCCGAATATCTGAATTTTTATACTTCTGAATTTCCGAAACATTGGACATTTGAATTCTCTGATTTTCAAACTTCAAAATTTCCGAAGTTTCAAATCTCGGTATTTTCGAGTTCCCGTTTTTCCAATTTTCCGAATTTCTGAATTAGAATTTTAGAATTTCAGAGTGAAACCAAAATGTCTGAAGCATAGGAAAGGTTAGAAATTTCGCATTTCCGAAAAAAATAATCAAATTTCGTGAATCAGAATCTCCGAAATTCAGTTTATGAGAAGTTAGGGGATTCAGAAAGTCAGAATTTTAAAGTTTACTGAACTTTTTCTTTCTCTCTTCTTTCAAAACTAAGACTAAATAATTATTTCCACAAAATCACCTTTTTGTCAGATATAACGTGGATAAGAAAAAAAAGGGGGTTGGGCGGAAATGACGTAAATATATTTTTCGAAAGATTTGCACTGTAGAAATAGAAGAACGTCTCCAGAAGGCGTCAATCTCAAAATTTCGAAAAATTGAATAGACGGTCATCATCTCGCTGCTATTTCGGATCATCTGTGAAAATTTGAAAATTTTCGGTTTCTAGGGTCGTGGAACCGGGAACAAACGGACACACAGACAGAATTTGGTGATTGTTAATAGAAAGATTAACACCTATAGTAAGCGCGGTGGTGGTCCATCTGATCCGGCAGAAGTGATGCGGGGGAGGGGAATCCCGTTGATTGATTAACTTTCGAAGAGAATGTTTAATCCCTATCAATTTGATGTTTTTGTGTTGTAATCAAACTAGAGGATAATAGGTCAGAAACCACAAGAACCTAGAGTGTTCTGGTTGAATAAAAGGTCTAAACAGGTTGTTGTCAACGATAGAAATGACATAGTGTATCTGGATGATTTATGGAATTCCATATTTTTTTCGGATATGAGGGGACTCAAAAATTTATAAGAAATCTGGCAACAAGAGAAAAATGAAACATTTGTGAAATTTTTGAATGACAAAACGTTGTATACATTTTGGAAACCCAAATATACTTGAGTTAGTCTAGGTGATTGGCTTAGAAGTTAGGAATGACAGATTTGTAGTTTTTCTTCAGATTTGTAACCAATACTTGTATGGATTGGTTTCGTTTCAGTATATAAAAAACCATAATTACACACTAGTAAACACTCTAATAGGTTATCATGCAAACCGTCATCTTTCACCTCATAGGTTTCATTTCCTGTTAAAGATATCGAAAAGTGGCTAACTGATAAAATGTTGATCATAACATCAAAAATATTTTGACAGTTTACCACTTTTTGATATCTTTCACAGGGACCAAGATAAACTTCCTCAAAGTTGACTGTTTGGTGGGCATTCTGAAAGAGTGTTTACAGTAATTTACAGGAACTACAGTAACCCCATCGTCAAAAAAAGTAGGAAAAACAGAAACAGATAAAACTTTAAATTTCGAAAAAGCTTAACCTAAACTGATAAAATGTTCTCACACCGGGAGGATTCAAGTTCAGGGGTCAAAAGTGTCCTCACTCTCGCAGAGTTAGTGCACTTGATTCCCGCGCACCTTACTCTCTTTGGTTCGCATGCTCTCTAAACATTTCGCTACGTAATTGTGATGGGAATGAGAGGAGAGAGGACCGAAGGAGCTGAACCAACTACTACTCGTACTATGTCGCACCATACAACAAACAATCGTAATGGCGCAACGGAGGGAACAAGAAATATAATGAGAGGAGAACGGACCGAAGAGGAGTGGTCTAAAATGTGTTGGCTAGTAATAAAAAATGTCATAAATGTTGAAAAGTGTTCAAGATTCATCTCTTGTCAAAAATCTATAGCTTGATCGGCTCTAGAAAGTTTGAAATTACAAATCTAGAGTCGGCATCTGAAAAATAATATGGTGATCAAGTTGAAATGATTAGATCAAAAGTTGAAAAAGTGCAGTCTAGAAGAATCTTATCCATAATCTAGATCATTGAATAAGGAACTAATTTTCAGATTTTGAGAAAAATTCGAATATTCTAATTTTACGGCTTCTTTTTACAGGTTCACTGATATTTTACTGATAGATGGACTGCTGAGAAGTTAAAAGATGAAGCTGCCGTATTTCCTCTAATAGAAGCGAACTCAAACCGACACCTTTGAGCTCATATATCTCATTTTCAGTACAAGATGTCAAAATATGGTCAACTGAAAAAATGTTTATCATAATATCGAAAACATTTTCTCAGTTGACCACTTTTTCATATCTTTCACAGGAGCCGAGATAAATTAGGTCAAAGTTGACGGGTTGGGTGAGCTTCTGTTAGGTGCGTTCTATTGGAGTGTTTACGGTATTTTACACAGGTGATTAGCGAACAATCCGTTACAGGCGCTCAGCGTTCGCGCGCGGTTGCAATAGGAACCGTATACGGAACGCACGCGACCCGTTTTCAGAAAACCACAGCACATTATTCCGTATTCCTCCGTATTCTGTCCGTTCGCGAACTCCGTATCCGATCCGCTTGCGAATGATGGACAAACGAATCCGTT